AGTCACTTCCTGTGTTAGCAAACCTACAGTCCAAAGGTTCAATGCTGACACAGTTCAGGGTGTGACTTTTCTGAACTGCAAATCACAGAATGAGCTTGGAATTCACTTGAGAGGCAAAACCTGCTGTTTGAATGCTGCTGGCTCCTCCAGGGCCAAGAACAGCATGAACATGCTGCATCTAGAAACTGGGTTCAGCAGGTATATTTTCATGATCCTTAACCATGACCATTAACCCATGTGGTTTTCAATTCTAAGGATTGCATTTTATCTGCCACAGTTCTTTATTTTTTTCCATGCCAATGACAGTAAGGTTAAATAAATTGATATTCTCAAAGAAAAACAGCTTCATGTTGCTTGTGGGTTTGTATTATCAAGGTATGATTAGCAACTGGTTACAAGAGCTCCAATCTGACTATCCAAAATTACGTCCAATTGGTACCTTTCCTTTTGGTGATTGTAGTTCTTAAAAACTGAACAGAAAATAAAGAACAACCCTATCATTGACCATTTTGTTTTAAAGAAGATGATATAATCTCATAACAAAGCACAAAATTCTCTCTAGGAGCCCCTGTAAATAAATCTTTTTATCTTTATCTGAGAAACCAACAATAGTGAAGGGCTGGCAATGGAAATGTGAAACCTTTCTTACAGAAAAAAAACACTGGAATAGAACGAAACCTCAAGTTACTGCCTGTTAAGCTCAGGTACAATAATTCAGCAAGGTACTCAACATTTTCCTTGGTATCACCTATGTGTAGGGCAAAGGGCCTTGCAGAGATTATAGATCTTGTTATTGCATTCAACTTCAGCTCCTGTGGTACAGACAGCTAAAATGCTAACTTTAGTAAACCATCACCCTGGGACGGCACATTATCTTTTGTGGAACAGACTGACCAAGAACTGAGACATCCCATTCCTCAAGGAACATTCTGTATCAACTGTTTTCAACTATTCACTTTTGAATACATTTTTCAGTTGCTTCCCTAAATTACAGAAATAGTGTCCTGATGCTCTGCTGAGTCCTGTCACCTCTCTGAAGCACCAGGATCAACACAACCCCAGGGTGCCAGGCATCCCAGGTGATACAGCTGAACTTTTCTGGCAGAAGTGGGAAAGATACATTCCCTATTTTATTTCTGACCATACGACCTTTTATTTCCTTTCATATGCCAGTCACATTTACCAGCTAATAAAACTGCCCCTGCTTTGCCCTGACCCATCTGCCTTTCCTAAAAACGCAACCCTGCTTATATTTTCTGCTGTGCCAAACAAATTCCTATTGCTTCCTGGCATGAGATCATCCCAGGCAAATACTGGTACATCATCCCTCTTCCCTCCTGTCACCTGCTGCTGCAGATTCATACTTAGGATTCTGCAGACAGGCACTGATGGAGAATAATACAAAACTTCTGAGTCATGTTTCTTGTGAAAATTGCAGACCTTTTCAGGCAGTCGAAAGCAATCCATTTCAACAGCAAAGACCTTGTCCAAACATCCTAAATACCATTACTTTCTTAGAAGAATATATTTTTAAAAATCTATAAATGGAAGTATTTCAAGTAAATTTTCCTCTAGAGTGTGATGTTTTCAATGTTCATGAGCTGTAAGCTCTAAATAATTATCAGGCATTTTATCAGCATTTTCATTTTGTTTTAATGAAGATGTATATCCCATCAGGGTAACAAAACCAGCAATTCACTGAGACAGTGACTATAATTTCCTATATTAACCCTACAGGGAAGAAAGTACTCAGCATCAAACAGCTCTGTCATTTCTTTCTCTACAGGAGTAACTTTTTGGATGCATTACCAACAGGCAAGGAAAAATAAAGAAAAAGAGGTTTATTTACACTGTCAAGAAATAAGGCAGGAAGTAGCACTGTCTGTTAATAAGAAATGCATTTTTTAAAAAGTGCTAACAAGCTACAACTCACAGGTTTTCTAAAAGTTTAGGATATTAATGCATTACAGAAGAGATGCCAGTAGTGCTGGCACTCATGAACAAATGTGGGGCTGGTTTTCAAAGCCGAGGTGTATTTTCCCAGCCTTTTAACACTTGTTTTAGAAACTAACTGCAAAATAGCCATTGGGCCCCATTATCCTGCAGAGGGAAGTGTGGAGTGCAAACCCAAAACCTCCTGACTCCATCTGAAATGTAATTAATTAGGGGCCTCAAGGTACCACAGACAAAAGCCCATTTATATGGAAATTCCTCCTCTAAAAACAGGCATGTAGAAACTTCCCAATTCAGCAAATAATGTGGAAATTCATCCTTGCCTGTCTGACCAGCTACAGACTCATCTCACATCACCCTCAAATGCCTACTGTTGAGCAGAAGTGTGTTCAGGCTCCTGAACTTTACTTAGAACTTTAATGAGATAAAAAATATTTGCAACATTTACGCAGTGGACAAACATCCCAAAATTACATCTACTGAATGTGCGTTTGGCTAAAAAAGATTTCTCACCCTGTTTACTCTTCCTAAGTGTGCAGCAAAACTGGGTTTTAAAAATATATTATAGCATTTTATCCATAATTATTTGGGGGGAAAAAAGTTGTCCCTAAAAAAAAGAAAGTGATAAGAATCATTAGAAAGTCATAAGCTAACTTTTCAGAAAAAGTAACCAGAACTTTGTATTTTGAAAACAGATCTTGTTTAGTAACAGGATGTATACATGGGGTAGGCAAGTGTGGGGAGTCTCCTGCCTTTCTCCCAAAGAAAAGAGAAAACCTCTGGATCACAGGAAATAACACAAATTTTAGAAAATCCCAGTGGTATGAGGGAAAAGACTTCAAATAAATCTGTAAGTCCTGAAAACAATGCTAAAGGACAGCAGATGTTCTTCCCCCCCACCAGCCTGCTCAGAGACTCACACACTCCCTAGGAGAAGTCCTTTATTTGCATTGATTAAAGTGGGTATTCAGATCCAGCCTCACACAAATGCAGAAACTGAGACAAATAGGTGCATAAGGAAGGACAGGCTGTGCCCATCCTCTCTGAATACACAAAGATAATGGAAAAATACAGACCTTTGAATATACTTTTTCTTCAGATTTCAACATCTTTATAATGTAAAACAGAGCCAAAAAAAAAAAAAAAAGGCATGCTTTAAATTTAGACTGAAAACTACTCTGGGAATTAATTTTTTCTTTTGCTGCTTTGTGATACGTGGCTGACAAACCAGTGCCTTGGCTGAAATGCTGCCAAAATAAAATGTAATCATCACTGTAACATCAAGTCAATTCTGAAATTAAATCAGCAATTCAGATTCATCTTATGGTAAACTGTTCTTAAGTAGGAGGCTTTCCCCCAGCCATCTCCACCAGGAAGCACTTCTGTTAAATAAAAATGGCAACAACACTATGGGCCCAGATATGGCCATGAGAAAAAAAGCTGGTATGTGGGTATCAAAATCCAAATAAAAGCACCAGAGCTTTATCTCAAATTTGTAAGCATCTAAAATGCCAGGCACTAAATTAAGAATTGATAATTATATTCATAGCCTCATTAGGTAAAAGCAATCAATAAGGCTGGGAACAAGGACCAAAGAAAGCTCAGCTCAAGCCATTAAGCAAAAAAAAAAAAAAAAAATCAGCTGTGAATAGCACTTCTTTACTTCCTCCACAAGCAATACAGCTTTATCAGGAGTGATGAACATTCCATGATGATCCTGATCAAGGACCAAGCCAGGTGACTGAAGACCCCTCCGAAATTTAGGAGCTATGGATTTGAATCTTCTTAACCAAAGCTGGGTGAACAAGTTTCTTGTGTCTTGGACAACTGCTGCAAATCATGTAGGAAAGCAAGCATGGAGATCCTCTCCCCACCAGTACCTGGAAGGACAAGAGCAGCTCCTTGGGCACTTGGGTACTGAGCTCATGTGCCAGTGTCAGGACTGGGGACGCTCTGAAAGAAGCTTTGCACCTAAGTACCAAAATTCCAACATGTAAATTGTCACACAGCAAAGTGAAACCCACACTTTTTATGGGAAAGACGTTAAAGGGGGTTTCACTTGCTAAACTGGATCTGAGTCCAACTGTATGAAATCAATTCAGAATTACATGAGGTGTTTTGTTAATACACTGAAATGACCGGCTTCTGCCACTTCTCCTCTGCATTAACATTAGTTCATAACTGATCAGAGCAACTAAACAGGTGGCAGTTTGAACTCTAATTGAATTAGTAGACAAAAACTAACCTGCAAACTACTTTTTTCTCATAACTTCAAATAACAGGGTGTTTTTGTTGTGAGGATCTAGCACCTAAGTATTGTACAAACCATAGTCTCAAAGGCCAAACAATTGATTAGCTGAACATAGCAGTAAAAAATTTATACCGAAATACTTCACTAGCACAAACAATTCTATGCCTTCTTTCATTTTCATTAAAACCAAAACCTTCTGAAAGTCAAGAAATGCACTGTACTAAGACACAGCCTGTAGGCTCCTCACCCAAGAAACTGCAGGGATTACCTGCAAACACAAGAATTCTGGTCACTATACACAGGGTTGTGCTGTGAACACAAAACTACATCTGACAGCAATGCAGAAGGATCTTGGGAGTCTTGGGAATCTTGCTGCTAACCTACACAGGAGATAAACTGGGACTGACAGTTGTCCCTGTCCCTATTCCTGCCTGTTTGGTCCCATGTCTCCCTAGCCTTCCTTTTCTTTCTCTTTCCTCCTCTGTGGGATTCTCCAGTGTGCAACTGAACTCACAGTGCTACAGACTTCAGTAATTCTGTGCTGGTAATCCAGGAGCACAGTAACTCTCCCTTGCTGGTGAGCAAAGAGCATCTACCAATACAGCTTGGAAAAGCCAAGGCCTCCTGCTAGGATTAGCATTTTTAGAACAAAAACATATTAGCACACTAGGGAATATCAATTAGAATGAAGTGAAATACTGCAGCTGAAAAGAGCAAACAGCACCGTGTGTCAAGTCTATAATTTATATTTATAAACTACAGTTAAATACCACCTTGTCCCACTAAATCTCCAACTGATCCAACCAACTCCCCCATTCAACAAAATCATCAATGATTTTATTAATACAACTTCAAATGTAGTATGTTATAGTATGTTGACTGGAATTCATTACTACGTATTTAATAGTGTACAACATAATAAAAAATACAAATATGTATTTCCATAACATTAAGAAGCAATAACACTTTGCCAGTGCCCTTCATTTACTTTGCAGGAGACGGTCTAGGAAACAGTTTCTCACTCATGAGAATAAGGAAAATCAAGCAAATATGATCTCAATTTAAATTTAGGTTACCTGTTGGAATAATTAAACACAGAAACGTCCTACCAATTCTGTACAATTACATTTGTATATATATGTATCAGTAAATCAACTACATTATGTAATCCTTCCACAAAACTGTTAACTAAAATGAATTTTCAGCCTGGCATAGAAACTATGCTTAATCATTGTAACCATGCCTTCCTTGACAAAGGCATTCAAAATAATTTTGCAGCCGAAAGACTCAATAGAGCAAAACAACAGTACTTAATTAAAAGGGGAAAAAATGAAAAAAAGAAGTAAAATAAAAGAAAACTTGAAAGCAAAGTTCATCCTTCAACTAACCCAAGAAATAATAAGAAGCAAAAGGGGAGCTGAACAACCATCTATCTGTATACTGCTTGTTCATCCAGGCTCAACATGAACTGGGTGTCAGACGTTCAAAAACTTTTTAACAGAATGAGAATTACAAATATTAACATTCAGATTATATCACTGTCTTTTGCTAAAAAACAGTCAGAAGTCCCAGTTGTTCCACTGAAATATAAGATTATACTAGCCAAAACCACCACAGGATTATTTACAGACATGTGTATCAACAATTACATTATGTAAAGCAAAGTTAATAAAGATGCAGAGACAAAATTTTTAAAAAAAGTTATCAATAAAGTATGAACACTGAGCAGTGTTCATAGGCAGAACACTAAGCCAGATTTAAATTTTGTTAAATATTATCAGACAACTGAAAGGAACTGAGTATTCAATTCTACAGACCACAATAATATGCTACTGAAAAAGCAGACCACTGATATGAGATTCCATGGGGGAAGGTGCAGGGAAGGAGGTTCAGAGATTGACTTGATGCAAAAAATCAACTATTTTGGACTATGTAATTTACATATTTAGAAAATCACCTAAGTTTGAAATTCAACTCATCACTTGTGTCTAGATTTCCATCTAAACTTTGGGTAAGAATGTTACTTAAATATTCTTAATGTACATGTACACTATTTTTTTATGTTGTATCACTTCAATAAGGAAAAACTACATCCAAAATCCTGACCAAGTACTTGGAATACAGGGAAAAACCTGATCCCTCAGAGGTCAATAGCAGAACTCCCTAGCGCGGTTAACTTCACTCTCTGGTAAGGTTACGATGAACGTTTAAGATACTGATACTTGACTGTGTAGATGGAAAAGCCTAAATGTCAACTCCAAGATCAAATTGTAAATGAAAACTCATTCCCTGAAGGCATAATCTTTCACTTCCACAGACCAACACAAAGATCACAGGCAATGAAAAAATAAACCAGAAGGCCACGCAGTGTGAAGACCAAATATTTCTTTACTTCAAAAATACATCTTTATATTCAAATTCCACGTTGCTGTGCTGTAGTAGGAATATACAATCATAAATTTAATTTATCTTGATCATTTGCATTCTGTGGCAAACTGAGCTCAGGAAAAACATCTGGTTTTCAGTGAAGACCTCTGTTACTTTGTCTTCTGTCTGGGTTCATTATAATGTAAAACAGTAAAGAAATAAGCCTCAGGGTCACGTAATCCATTCTCCACTGAATTCGAATTGCTTCACAATCGAACTTTATCCAATAATGAATGAATTTGTTCATCATCCATCACAAGAACTCTTCAGAGTATATGAGGATTTTTTTAATCTTTTAAGATGAACACAGGAAAGTACAGCAGTTACAGAACTGATTTTGCTTCTTAAAATCTTGCAGAACTTAAGGTCAGTTTGATAGCCAACCATGTAAAAATCTGAACAAAAACTGAAGGAAATTAGAGTATTGAAAATCCTGCTTAAAAAATTACATTTATGTCTTGGCATACCATCCTTCTCCTTGCATGGAGAGGCTGTTTTTCATTCTTGACTTTAAAATAGGGCACATGGAAAAAATGGACTTCTTCCCTTCTTGCTTGATGATGTTACAATTCAGCAGTTAATACTGTCTATCATCATTTGCATACTTAAATCCTTTTGGACATGGCCAAACAACGATGTGAAAAACAGTAATTAGCACAATCATAATTTAACCTCTGGTAAATTAATTCCTAAAGAAGTTCTTAGAACTAACATATGGCCTCCATGTATTTAGGTAACAGGACTCTTCTGCACTGCAGCATCAAAGATACATTTTTGCTAAATTTCAGTGGCAAATGCTTCAAGCAGGAGGTACTGGTAGTCTTCTTAATATTTCCATTGCTATCTTATGATAGGCTTTAGCCTGCAAAAACAGAAACATACATTGAGCACTCCATTTTCTACAGAAAGGAATATTTCACAACTAATTAGGTATTTGTTCTTTTACACACAAAGAGAAAATCAAACATGTTTAAATAAATGGGTTAAATTTAGCATGTGTTCAGGAAAAACAATGCATTAGGAGACAGATTAAGCACAAGCATTATAGAAAAATATTGGTGGGAGAATTTAACTGAACAATTTGTCTTTAACAACAAGCAAAGTCTTCTGAAAGAGAAGCGATGAGGAAGATACAGATTCTTTACTCCCACAAGTACTATTAATTATAAACTTCCCTCATCCTGACAACCAGGATGCACAGGATAGAGAATCAGAGAAAATAACACCATTAAAAAAAATTTTGAAACTATTCATTATAGACATGACTATCACTATGGAATTTCCTATTCAGACATTTAAAGTATTTTTAAAAAAAGACACCTTTCCAAAAGACTGAAGTAGGTATTGGAAAGAACTAATTCTGCAACACTGAAATCCACACAGTTAAAGCTCTCTTTCCCACCAGCCTGTGGTATCTGGTCAGACACCTTGACTATAAAGAGCAACCCAAGTAAGCATACTTATGTTAACATCTCCAAAAAACATGGCACAGCTAGGATCATGATCAGTCCACCATCAATTAACAAATCTTATATCAAGGGACTTACATAAAAACACTGTATGAAGTCCAACACAGAACAAACCCCAGAATTAAATCAAATTATTCCTGTACCAAGCTCAGCAACTTATAGTCAAAAGGGAACATCTTATAAAATCTTAACCATTTATATAAGAATGCTTAATTAAAATAGTATTTTTGTGTGTATGTCCATACACACTGTACATTGTTCCAGAAGTTGATTACTTCCATTGTTAAAATGTACACCTTTTCTATAATTTGAATTTGTCATACTTCAGATTCCAGCTGGTGCATCACATTATCTGTCAAGTACACAGCAAAGTCCCCTAACTGAGCTTGCTCTTCTGCAAGACAGTGACCAACCTACTCCATCTTCTCCACTAAGTCTGCATACACAGACCACATTGACAGCCTTTCCTGCTTTCCTTGGACATATCTCCACACTGATTTCTCCTGTCTCCTGCAGGATGGCCCTAACCATGAATTAGTCCTTGTACCCCTGATGACCCTTAAAAGCAGCAAACAAACTGACACATGCCAGAGGCCAGAGCTTGGGGGGCAGGAAGAGATGGTCTGCCTGTCACACCAGGGCCACCAGCACTCACTGTCACTGCTCTGAACAAGGTATCAGCCTTTTGCAGGGCCATGCACTGCTCATGTCTGTCTCCTCTTTTTTAGGGGTTGCTCCTGGCTTGTAGGATTTTCTTCTCTGGCATTCATCCTCTACACCTCATAGTCTCAGTGTTCACATCTTAAAACTAAAGCCATAAAATTTTCTGAGTTTGAAGGAATGCAGACAGCACGACAGAATTGTTTTCTCTCATGAGAAAACAATTACATGACTTTGTGGCAAAAACGACAGAATTATTTAGAACTTAATTCACAATCAGGAATTTCAAACTTCTGTGGCTACAGTCGCAGTGCAGATGGGTAACAGCCTGTGTGCAACACCCACCTCACTCAGCTATTAATGCCCTGGGTGCTCCAGCTGCCCCCCAACACTCACCTAGACAAGGTAATGGACCCATCTGAAGTGAGGTGACTGACTGAAGTCAAGCTGCCTTTGCAGTTCAGTATTTGACTAATTGGTGTAAGAGCACTCCAGGTGGGAATTTCAAACCTGGAACCTGGAACAGTCCTGCAGGCAGCTCCCACTTCGCACAGATCAATTCATGGATTTTAATGAGCCAATTAACAACCTGCATACAGTACCTGGCCCCTTCTAAAGACTGCCCAGGCTGTTTGCCTGCTCCAGAGTTAACCAAATTATACACAGAACTATAAATTCACCATAAGCAGACTCAACTGTTTGTATAAATATTACCTTATGTCAACAGCCCAACACATAAAATTTAGATACTTTCCCCACAAAATGCTATTAATGAGTGTCTGAGTAACACTTCCCCAAAGTACACTGACCCTCATTTGCCAAGCAGCTGATCACCACTTTGCAACAGGAGGGTCCCAATGCAGCTCTTTGTAGCAAGCATTCCAGCACTACTAAACACTGTCTAGTGTCTTGCCTGCTGACCTTTGGGCTTTTTATTTTCCTGGATCACTACTTTGTCTGTTGAACAGACCAGTATCTCATGTGTGTCCTTACAGAACACTACCAGTCACCTGGCTTTGGCAAAAATCAACTGTTTTGAGCCTTGGTTTACTGTCTTTGAACAAATGATTTAGCCATGAGTGAGGACCTGACCATCAATCAACATACCTGAAAGGTCTAAATGGAATCTTGGTGACTGTGAATATGCACTACATAAAAACAACCTTATGTATATTGAATAGCTTTTCCTACTCGTGATCTTTTCAATGTGCCATCCGTAGACAGAGAGCACAGCTCAGTTCAGCTGTTTAATCCATCATTACTAAGCAAAAGAAGTTGGGTTGCAAATGAAACCAGAAAGGGTTTACTATTTCATTTCCAGGTGGAAAAACAGCAGAGAAAGAGTAAAGGATGAGTTCCTATTCATTGCCCATAACCTTTCTCATTTTAACAGGATAAAAGCAAACTTCTCAGGTCAGTTACTCCCTTCATGTTTGAAAGCTCTAAATGAATGGTTTATAGATTTTCTGAAAACCAATTTTTTGCTGACAGACAACTTTATATTCAAAAACAACATACCAGTTATCATTCCTCCCACTTCATGAGGACGAAGAAGCACACAGGAAGACAGAAGGCCCTAAGCCCAGACCAGACTTGTTTATTATGGACACTGCCTTGATGTGGGCTGAGAGCAGCACTAGGGCAGGCAGAGGTAGAGGTGGAAGGTGATGCTCACAGAGTCAAAAAAAAAAGCTGGGAAACAGCCACATGAGAGACTGCTCACCTCTCAAACAGTGGCACAGTGCCAGAAGAGCACAGTTCTTAAGACCTCAAGGGCACAGCTGCTAATGAAGTGACTGATGATAGCATAGATGGTGGAGCAGGAAACAGAACCTGTGAAGAAGTTCACCAGGAAATGGAGCGAGAAGTCCTACTTGGCATAAATAATCAGAACATCCTGATTCATCACTCTGTAGCAGATCTGTATTATCATAGCCTAATACATGTTGGGTAGATTTAAACTGGAAAAATTTTTACTAGCTCATCTAATTAAGCCCTGCAGTAATCCTAGGGAAATATTAGCCTTTCAGTTATGGCCTTTCATTCTCCCTAAAAATCTTACCCGTGAGGGAAGTATGCATTGTTGCTAAGATTACTGCAGACTGTACAGGTCATGGCTGACTCTGCCCTGTTGTCATGCACTGGACTGGTGTGGTCTGACCTGCTGGTTTGCTTTCACTGGAGCGCAGATCTCAGCCTGCCAACAGCTCACTACAGTGCCTGCCAGTACCTGGGGCAACTGTCACACAAACACAGAACTCAACTTATAATCAACAGAGTAAAAGCAGGTAGGAGCTGATATCACATTTTCCTTCACCCAAACCACTGCATACAAACAACTTCAGACCAGCAACTCAGAAACACACACTGATCCCATCACTCAGTTACAGGCCTCATACACAACAGGATATAAATCCCAATACTGACATGGTTTCTAACGTCTATTTCTGATTACAAGACTCCAAGACTATTAAGGCTGCTTTACTCAGCCCAGCAATCCAAAGGAGAATCTGTGCAAGTCTGACTGTCTGGAACATCAAATGTTGTGGATCCTAATATACCTGTAATAAAGGAAAAGGAATTTACATCTGCTCAACTGACCTGTTAGGGCTTACATTTTATTAATTGCTGAAGGAAACTAGCCACCATGAGCAACTAAACCAATAGTGACTATCACAAGGACAAATACTAGTCTTAGGTACCATCTACATGAAAATAAGCATAGCCAGCCTGTCATTGATAACTTCGGTTCTTAGCATTCTCTGCACAATCATGTTCCATTTGCCAGTTCAATCAGATTTTTAAATAGATTTAATTTGGAAGCATGGAAATTGCTTTGTTACTTTGACACAAATCCAGCCTTCAGTGCACGACTGGAGATACCTTCCAATGTCTGTATTTTACTGTGGTCAGCTCAGCTGGCACTAAAAACATGATGACAAATGCAGCTTTAAATGAGTCTACTTCAGGTACGAGCTTCATGACACACGGAGAAATTCCTGGTTGCTACAAGAGGTCCAGAGACTATCTCACTCCCTACCAGTCATTCCTCTGGGCAGCTCCACTGTAAGATTCTTCTTTGCATGTACTGGCAACTCTTGCCAAATTCACAATGAAGTCTCAAGTCAGAAAGGCAAACTTACTGAGACAGTAAAAGTCAATCCACACATTAACATGAAATGGAGGAGACTAGTAAGTAAGCTGGAATTATGAAACTAAAATCTCAAAGAAAAATCCTCAGTGCTCATGGCAAACTTCCTATTAATCCTATATATCAGCAGTAGTAACAGCCAAACCATTCTTAGGGGCAGCCCCAGCTGCTAACCCAAGGTGCCCTTACAGACATCTAAATACACATCCTGCCCAAAAAACATGGCCAAAGAGAACAGTGCAAATCAAATGCAGTACAGTAACATCTCTCAAACAGACTCTCCTACACTCAGCCTTTTCTTCAGCAGACAGAACCATAAATGAGGGTCTGATGATGCATTGTACTGTCTACACCCTGAATGAAGGATTTGAACCTACATGTACCAAATGCTACTGTGATGATTCAAAGGAAGCCTTGATGATAAAGACATATTATAAATCATACCATGCAGCCTTCTTTAGGATTTGCTTTTCTTTTAAAATATCACACCCTGCATTGACCACTCACTAAATGGAATTACTGATGACAACTAAACCACAAAAATGGATTCTATGACTTTTTGCTACTAGTACTTAAATCTTTCCCCAACTACTTATCGCAATCTTTAAAAGGCTGTATGTTTTTGCCCTACTTATACATCACCCTTTCATAAGCATTCTAGAGACAAAGTGTTTCTGAATACAAATTTGAGTTGTCTGTTTGGATGATACCACAGCAAGGTTTGTAACATTCTGATTTAATTGAAAAGGGATGATTAACCAGACTTACTTTGCTCTGTTCCATTAGACTGCTGGTACCTTGTGCCCCTGCTTTCCACCTGACTGAGCTTTTTCTCTTCCCTTATAAATCAGTGTGCAATTTATTGGACTCAAAATCCTTCACCTGTATATGTAGGATGTGAATGGACATACCGGTACACCAAATGTATTTTGTACTGGTTTGAGGTAGGAGGTGACAGGTGGGAGTTTGGTGGTCAACAACCACAGACAGCCTGTCTGTTCTGCCAAGGTATTGATAAATCCACTGTGCCATCCAGGCTGTGATACACCCAAAGTTTCTAGCAGGAATTCCTCACAAGATAACCACCAACTGCTCCGTAAGTCTCTGGGCTCTGTGCTCACAGAAGGAACAGCTCTCAGGAACCTCTATTTATCGTTCTCCCAGTGTGATGGAGAGTTCACTGGGCACTTAAGCAGCTCCTCTGATGGAAGACTAACTCCACTGCAATTAACCATGTTCTATAACTCTTGCTGTGCCTCTAGTCTGCTTACCTGCAAGCTTCAAGATGCCTTTCCAAACACCTGTCTTGCTGCTGGCTCCTTTCCCATGGTCCATAGGAAGATCCAGTACATCTGAGCATGATCAATTTCACTGGTTTCAGTGATTCCTCATTAGTTTGTCCCTATTCTACCTTTTCCCCTGCCTCTTTCCCCCCAGTTCTACCATTTTAGCAGCATTCCTGATTTCTGTTTACCAGCTTTTGCTGTCCAGTGACTCTTGCATCTGTTTGAGTGAGCAACAAAATGGAACCTGAGCCAGCTAATCCACCTCCACAGTGTGATGGAGGAGAAAAATGCTCAATGAATCTTTAGAAGTGTCTCACTACCTTCACTGTTGATTAAGTGTCTCACTTAATCAACAGTGAAGGTAAGACTTCACTGTTGATTAAAGAAATTATAAGCTTCTTGGGTCACTCTCAGCTGCTGCGTTAGGCTGACCATGCAAGTACAACAATATTCCATTTCTATATCACAAAGTTTTATCAATGAAGAAAACGCCACAAAAAAAGCCACAATTTAAACAACTAAGCTGACAGAAACACTAACACAGACAATGTTATACCAAGAGCAAAATCATTTTAGCAGCACTGTTATTTCTCCCAGGGGACTGCCTCAAGCTTCACCAAAAGAGAACTCCAGTCATCAAACCTTCCTATCCTTTAGCTATAACTTCAATACTTTCCATAAGCAGATTAGTCTTGTGTATTCTGTGCCTTCCCTGAGGAAGAACTTTCTAAGTTCACACATGCTCCATTCTATAAGTAATTTCTTTTTTTAGTTCTTAGTAATTTCCTTGTCATTTGTGAAAAGGAAATCCCTTTTCCACCAACTACATATAAGCTTTGAAATAATAAATTTAGACAAGTTTGCTTAGACATTTTGAAATTCTTGTGTAAAGTCAGAGGTATACTTTTATCTACCTGAAAGGCAAGATGAACCCCATGGCAGATGTGTAAGCAAAAATGTATTAACTGACATATTTTAGAAACCATTTTATTCTAGGCTTGAAAGAGCTCAAAAGGTGTGACAACATGCTGGGTTTCTAAGAAGTCAATCACCATCTCTATTCCCTACTGTTTGAATCTGCTAGGTATTATTTCAGGTCTATGATTCTGTATTTGATTTGTAAGTGTGTTCTAATAAAATCAGCATAGAATTTTGTATGAAAATCCCCTGCACATTTAAGTAACAGGAGCAGAGAAATTCAGGAGACATTGTTCTCTATCTGAAAAGTTGTTAATGCATGAATAGCCACAATTTCAGTTTATTTGAGAAACATGATGATGACTGTCATGTTCTAAAGATTAGAATCTGACCTTATATGCCTTCTCCCACCATCAGTTACGTGCTAAGAATTTAATATTTCTTTGAAAATATAAGAGAATGATATTTTTTCTATCTTTAAAATGAGAAGAAAAGCAGGGATGAAGGAAAATTCTTTTTCATTCTACAGAGATTTATGACATTTTTAAAAAACACATTCTCTGAGGAGAACTACTATCTCACAGACACAAAGGCAGAGAAGGACATTAAGAGTTTTCCCCAGAGTCACACATATTTGTCAATCTTTATTCTTCTGCATAGTTAACTTAATTGCCACAAATGGTGATTATAACCCATCCTTTTGTTATCAAGAACATGTTAAAGGAGGAACAGATGGCAACACAACAGATTTTCTTGCCTTTTTATTTTCAGAATGCTATCCCATACACGTCTGAATTCTTTGCTCAATAGTCCAGCAGGCTACAGACTCTTGGTTATTACAGATTTCAGATACTGTGAGCCCTCCACCTTAGCTCCCCAGCTGTTTTACTTCAGCTTTGACCAAAGCCATACATCCATGCAAAACTTCACATTGCTGATCAAACTTCCCAGAAAGAAGCTACCATATGGATTACAGGGATTCCTTTTCAGATAGACCTAGACTCAAGATCACTACATTATTCCACAGCACGGGCCTTGCCCAAACCTAGCAAAAACATGGCATTTAATTAGAAGTCAACACGCTACTTCTCTTTCAGAACAAAACTACAACTTTGAGACTATCACTGGTCTTCCAGAATCCTGTTCAGTATGTTAATAACACTGGATTAAGAATGTCAATGTTCTCCTCCTTTTTTTTTTTTTTCTTCTAAAATACTGTGAAGGAAAAAACACATTTCAATCATGATATTGAAAAAGCTACTAATATTCAAATGTTCCATAGGTACAGTCTACCTTATTGTGAATTGATTCTACTACCTGTTATCAGTATTAATAATTTTTTTCACTGTGTATCTTTACCTCTAAGCAGCAGAGGAGAGTGGGGCTGCATTATGCCATATACTGTGTACAGAACCCTGCCCTAAAGAGTCTGGCAGACAAACTCTAGCAGAGAAAGAAAATAGCAGACAGGGAAATCTTACTCCATCAGCAGTAATGAAATTCTATATGTCCAACTACTTTTCTTTACAGATTTGCATATTTGACTCCCACCACCCCACCAACTTGCATTTTCCAGTGACAACAGAATGCTATAGTAAATAAACTGAAAAAATCTATTTCCTCTTGTGTGCAAACTGCTCCACTTCCTGATGAAAACAACCCAGGTACTGACAATATGAAGTTTTGTTCCAAACATCTTTGGGTAAGACCCTTTGACAGTTTCCAGGCTCAGCTACCAAAGGCTTAACTGACAGCTTTAGAGGACCTACATTAGCTGCAAGGTCTCATGAGGCTTGACACTGACCTACCTCCTCTTAGTGTGCCAGGACCTGGATCAAATCTCTATTCTGAATGATTCAGCCTAATTAAACAAAACCAAATCCACAGAAGCAGAACAGATGACCAGCATTCAAAAATCAAGGGCCTGAGTTACTTACTGCTACTACCTTCTTTTACTTTATTTCCTTACTTCACTCAAAAACCCATTTCTTTCCAAAGAGCAATAAGAAGCACTCTCCATTCACTTTTAGAGGAGAGCTCTCTGTTGTTCTAAGTGCAGTGCACCAAACTTACAGCATCACTTTGAGGCTGAGAGATCACAACAGGCTGTCCTGAATCACACGTCTCCCGTATATTGATGTGCAGTGGAACGTCTCCTGCATCAAAAATACCAAGACATACATATGTGAAGACCTAGTATTTCTTAAATGTTTCCTTAAAATAACCCTAAAGCAACTTGAAATCTAATTCCCATTCACTATACTCTTTGAATTGCTTAGGCTCTGAAAATTAGCATTTAAAATGAAAATTGGCTGTGGTATATTTTCCTTACATCCATAATGAATAATGCCAAACATATTTTGGAGTTTTAATTCTTTGAATAGAAAGGATCATGCTTTAGTCATTTATTACAGAAAGAAGGGCTTTTGAAGGCCTCAAACACAGAAAAATACAGGCTGAGATACAAATTATTTTGTTTATATGAAATAAATTGCCTGAGTGTTAGGCAACTATTCATCATGCAACTTACTGTTCAGTCTATCTCCTCACTGTAAGTTCTTTTCAGTGACGTTTTAAGATTTTAATCACTATTCAAAGACTTCTTTGAATACTTAATTTCCAAATAATAGCATTTGTTATTGTCCTTATTAGGCCTTGGATCCAATTAAAAGGTGGACAGCTATTCAGTTCATTCTTCTTTCCAACAGAAATCTTCTTTATATTCTGCTTTTATAATGAGCAGGGAACTGCCAGAGAGGAAAGGATTCTTCTAAAGAAGAATCAATTAGCAGCCCTGTTCCATTCTGAGACATACTTTCTGCAACATAGATTTCACCACTACAAAAAACTTGGAGATTCCTATGTTTACTGCTACATAAATAATTTTCAGGTGAACTGAGGACCAACTTTCTTTAACTGGAAGACATAGCTACACTTTACATTATGGATAGACAAAGACAGAACAGCCTACCTTAGTTCAATCCTGACACATCAGAAATCATGTAAGTTTAATTCATACATTTTAGCAACCTGATTTAACTCAAATTAAGGCCATTGTAAATTACTGAGATTCAATGTATTCAGAAAATGAAACAGTTTTAAAAACTGTATGAAAATTTACAATGTTTAAGAAATAAAAAAACCCAAACACAAAGCAAGCAGGAATACAAACAAAACCAAATAGTAAACACAAAAGCACTGGCTCCATGATTACTGTGCTGAATCTTTGAACAGCCTTATTATTATTTAGGATAATGACAGACCATTTCCTTCAATTTTTTTTTCTTACTTATTTCAGTCATTAATAAATTTAGGTATAATAGTCTGTTCCTGTATTCATTTTTTTAAAAATTCAGAGAGTCCTCTGAAAGTTTTCTAACCATAAACATTCTTAATTGAATAACAGTAATTTGTAAATCTCCCTGACATTCACTTCCTACTCTTATTTTACGTAGAGACTAATCTTCTCTTTTTTCCTAAGGATGTTTTGTTAATGAAAAAATACTTCTTCAATATCAGCTTAATAATAATCTCCAATATTTACAAAATAGCAGCCTCTCTCTTTTCCTCCTCAGACTTACAAACGTGCTGGTACTACAGGAGCATTCAGGACTTGTAAGAACAGAAGTGCAGTCAGAAGATAAAGAAAAATGCATTATAATTTTAAAAAAATTGAAAATTTATAATTTAAGCAGAAGACATTAAAACCATCTGCATAGTTGTTTGGGTGGTATGGGTTTGAGGAAGATAAAACTTTTGCACTATTCTTCACAACCCAATGGGATGGGAACTTAACATCACAAGTTTTTCTGATGTTAACAACTACTGCTGATTGCAAAGAAAGAATAATTTAAATTTACTGTAGGAAGAAAAATCAAAGAATTTTAAAAATCTGGCAGTCATTGCTGATGGTCAGGAACCAGATAGTGTTAAAAAAGTCAGGAATTGCAAAGGTCAGGATAGAACACACAGAAATTATTATCTCAGTATCACGCATACCAATGGCATAGCTTTCTGGTCACGGTTACAGCTCTCAAACTTCAGGAAAAAAATTTCAGAGACAGGGAGAGAAAAATCAGCAGCACAAAGTTGCTCTCACAAACCTTATCACATATTCCTTTAAAGAACAGTAAAAATAAAAGACAATCGCAAGTATATGAAATAACAGATTTTACTTGAAAGACTCCTGGCAAATGCTAATTGTCTTCTGTCATAAACAAAAATAAGGTACTCAGTAATACTAATGACAGCCAACTCTGAGCAAATGGAAGGATGATACTTTTCAATCCTGCACATTGTTAGCTTGGAGAATTTGTCAGATGTTGGAAACCCAAAAACTTGTTGGGTTTCCAAGAAGGACTAGATGCTTATCTAAAGAAACAGAACAGCCACAGGGGTCAGAAAATATATGCAAAATAAACTTAGAATTACTAATTTTAAATATATGCACTTTACAGATATATATGTAAAAATATGTTCTCAAGGTTTTTGGGCAGAATTCAAGTAATACTGAGATAGAACTTCCATTTGGGATGGATTACCGTAAAATCCGTAAGCAGTAATTCTTACAATGCCATATGGTATTATTATGTAATGGTCATCCCTGGAAGGAGGAGCATACTAATCAGATCAAGTACTGTAATTCAAAATTTATCCCTTGGCGCATTATTCTTAATCTTAGTCTACTTTTGCATTGACAGTTTGAAGTTAAACTTCACTGTGCTTTGTTTTGTGTACATCTCATCTATCCCCTGCTAAATCTGTACATCTCTCACATCACTCCTAATTAAATCCAATCACAATCAGTTCTGCACTCTTAGGAAATAACAAAAACCACCTATGGGACCGATGCCACGGTACATCATTTGTGCCTGCGTATCTAAATGCACGTTTGATTCAACTGCTTGCAGAGCATTTGCAGCCATCCACATAACCCAGGGCTGTAGAAGTCCCCTTGGGCTCTGATCACAACTCATTACATATTCAGAAAACTAAAAGATAGCCCAAAAGCATGTCTTTAATTATCTGTTGCCTTGCTATCTCAAGTCTATGTCAGACCTTGATGTTTCTGTGTTGATCTTTCTAAGTGAGCTTCCTGGTTCTTTTTAATGAATTAGCTATGGAAAATCATTGAGATAATTAGAGTAATACATGGAAACACATCATTAGCACATGCAATTACCCCATTTACCAACTTAATTACGCTGTGTTATATTCTTTACTTACAGCACAGGTTGAACCATGCCTTTTTAAATCAGTAATGTATATTTTAAAGATCCATGTATATTTTAGCCTACAGGCATGACAGATAGCTTAATCATAGCTAATCATAGAATGATTTAAGTTGGAAGGGACCTTAAAAATCATTTAGTTCCAAGCCCCCTTCTGCAGACAGGGACACTTCAAGTAGAGCAGGTATCTCAGAGCCCCATCCAATCTGCCTTCGAACGTTTTCAGGAATGGAGCACCCTTAACTCTAGACAACCTGTGCCAGTCCCTCACAGTAAAGAATTTCTTCCTAATATCTAATCTAAATCTGTCCTCCTTCAGTTTAAAGTAATTCTCCATTGCCCTATCATTGCCTGCCTTTGTAAGAAGTCTCCAGCTTTCAGACCCATTTACATACCAAAAGGCTGCTATAAAGCCTCTGCTGTGTCAATATTTAAACAAAAATAATTTAAACAAAATAAATGAAAAAACATTTATTGATATTACTAGACAGAGTTTAACTCTGTCCTAAGACTAAATAGAATTCCTGGTTATTTGCAAAAATTGCTGTACAGTCAAGCACATAACGAATTTCAGGTAATATAGCACATTGATATCAAAACAATTCATGTTCTGGATTGTTTGTAAATACAAAGATTTAAGATGCAATTCAAGAATTTTCATACGCAGTCAACATCACCATTACAAGACTGACAAGGAACAGAGCATACTGCTTATTAGTTCCATTACATCTGAAAACAGTCTGAATGCAAAGTCATCTAGATTATGCAGTTTCATCATTCAGTTAATGCTTCAGGCACACCGTTAGATTTTTCTTCAAAAATAAAACCATTTCCATATTCTTACCCAAAATATCCAATCCAAGAGTTTTTGCCAGATCTTTTACGCCATCAGTTCCAAAAATATGCGTCTCATGCTTACATTTGGGACACTGGAAAACACTCATATTTTGAACTAGTCCTAAAACCTGTCAAAGGAAAGGAAAGGAAGGATTGCTCAAATGAAGCACTGGTATTTCCATGTTAATCTCTGATAATACAGAATAGATTATCCACTAAGAACCAACACAGAGTGGTTACTTAAAACAGGAATCAGACCCATTAATATCATTATCAGCTCTTATTAGTCATCTCAGTGGCCCCATCATCTGGCATTACTTCAATTTCTTCACATTCATACCTCTTGAAGACTACCAGCCTTATTTATAACAAAAAGTACTTCTTTCACAAACCAAACTTGCCAAGAACTCTCCCTGCTAGTATTTCATTTTCAAACTCTGAATACTGGAAGAATTTTCATGCTGCGTTTTACAGTTTTGTCCTTTGCAGTTTCAGGAAAGAGAAAATAAAAACATATCATTACAAGAAATTACACAATCAGACGTGCTTTTAAGGCATTTTTATAAGTTATCCGGTAGGGAAATGTTTTCAAAAAGACCAGATTTGTTATTCTTCTGCAGAGCAGAAACACATTCTAAAGATCAAACAATAGAAACAATTATGTGAAACTAAGTGGCAAAACCCATAGCATAAAAATCTAATACACACATCCTGGGTACCCTTCCATTGATGCCAGGTTTTCAACGTCATCCTTATAAAATACGTCAAATAAAAATTTGCCAAGTCATTCACACAAAAAAATCTACATTCACAATGTGAAATAATGCTAATAATCTCATTCTATTCACATAGTAAACAAAACTCTACATTGAGTCAGATCAAAATTTTCAGAAGTGACAAAAACAGTGTTCAAATGCCACAGGGTGGAAGTTTGTATCACCTGCTAAGGAACAGAATACCTGCTTTAAGAGGTGCAATGTTACAGTTTTTCACTTTCAGATTTGTACAGTACCTAGATATGTCACAAACACTATAGCTGCGTTTTAGAATACACAATTTATGTTGCTATTTACTTTGTAGCATTTTGTACTTCCACATTTTCCTGAACCTTCTAGTTTTGTGCTTGAACAAGGTGGTCTCTGGTTATTAGAGAAGAAATATTTCCACTATGCTAATGAAGGATATCTAGGAAGAAACAGCAGTGTTCAGTGTGACCAACCAATATATTTAATTAAAAGTGAATGTACAACTCCTGGCACTGAACTTAAAATAAAGAAGTATGTTACTTACAATATCATAGTAAGTCTCCTTAGCTGTAAGCTGAAATTTATCAAAAGGTGGTCACCTGTTTTTGCTATACCACCTTTTCTATATCACCTCTTATAGAGAATGCTTGCTACATCTTCCTTTACTTACATAAAACTCTCAGATGGTTTAAAGCAAGGAACATTTTAAGAAATAATATGCTTGAAATAAAAATTACCTACTTCCAATTTAACACCTCAAACTGACTTTCCCCCTTTTCTACTGTCTCCCAGGGACTGTCAGAGAAGCAAGTGGAACAAGACTCTATTTACTGGCACATTATTACAGATAATTTTATCATCCAGTTCTTACATCAGTAGAGACATTAAATACTGCATATACAAGGGTAGAAGGTGCAGGGACAGTAGAAATGGAGCTGTACAGCCACAGCCTTCTATGCATGACCTCTAAGCAGGCATTCATGCTGCTCTCCCCTAAAGTCAAGTCATGGAGTTTTTACTCTGTTGGTAAACTGAAGAACACTGAAAGATGTATTTTTGACAAAAGAAAAAATATTATTTTTACCGGGATACATGGAGGCCATTTATGAAAGGACAAAAAAAAAGATGGGAAAAAAGAAGTAATTTGAAATTTACACTTTAATTCATTTTCAGGTATCTTGGGGTTTGAACTTTCTGTTCTCTTCAAAGTACTCATCCAACATTTATGGTTCAGCAAATTTATCATCAAAGAAAATTTTATGTAGTCTACTATTGTTTTGTCAATAGTTAAGCATTATTAAAGCTGTTTTGTTCATTTTATAATAACCTAGTAACTAAGAAGTCCTTCAGCCAGGACTGATGCTAGACCAGTTTTAGAGGCCTTAAACACTGTCCTTTTTTATTTCCATTTAAACAAACACTACTAAAAGGAAATGACACTTCATCATTACACAATAAATTTAATTTTTCTGTGTTGGTGCTGTTTGTCAGCCAATAAATAGTGCATATTTAATAATATATAATTTATCCATCTGGAATATGAAGAAGCCACTTAAAAATACTAAGCATAATATGGAATATTTCCAAATACACAAATTTACTGCTGAAGTGATTTTTTACCATGCATTTTTCTGCACATATATTTACAGAAGGGAGCTCCTTATGACCTTCAGAGCTTTTAAATCTACAAAGGAATAGGTCTGGTTAATGAAGTCAGTAATAACCCTCATTTTCCTGCTCAAATAATAGACTTGTAATAGCTTCAAAGCAGCTGTTACCATCTACACAAACTATTTCATAAGTGTGGGTGAATTCTATTCTAGTTCTTGTTGAGCTTGGCAAATTTGGCTCAGCAATGACATGAAAACTTTTATGCACAACAATACAGGAGCTAACCTATGGCAGCAGCATGGAGCTGCATTCCATTTTGTCTAATCGTTATTTTAAATGGCAAAGAAGCATCTGGCAGGAAATAACAGGAAATGAAGAAGCCTTTCATTAGGAGTTATCTGCACACAGTTTCTGAATGTTTACATACTTCTTGTGCTCAGCAAACCTTTTGGTTACACAATAAATCATGCTTAAATCCAAATACACAACCTTCTAAGTTAAAGAAAATACAGTGATGAAATGAAAGTTCTCTGTATTTACATTAGGAGACAATTCCTGAGAAACCCACGGCAGTCATTCACTGTAGCTAAGGACAGATAGCTGGTGCTGAGGTCTGACTGCAGTCTGATGGGGACTGAAGTGACCAGGGTTACAGTTCCTCTGCCATCAGCTTCCTGTGTCAGTCAGCCACTTTGCCTTGAAGTGCTTCAAGTGAACATGCACAATATTTCTGTCTTCCTACCTTTCATCCTGTAACAAGCAATTTCTGTCTCTAATATCTGCTCCCAACATGAAGCCATAATCGTGGCTGGTTACTCTGGATGTTTCAGAAACACCAGTAAGAACATAGCCAAATAAGCCATTTTAACACAACTCTGAAGGAAATACACAGCTGAGTTTATCTAAGCAGTTTTTTTGAAACCTGTAAAATCCACAGCATAACCTTCAAATTAAAGGAAACGTCCAGAAAAATTGCAGATTTAACTAAAACCCTGTCTTTTCTTTCAGGGATATGATTGATAAGATAAACAATGATGAACTGAACTCAGCCTCAGCAAGTGGAAATAGGCAGTTTTTCTCCTTAATACTCAAAATTATTCACTTTGAGTCACCCTTAGGAATGCAAGAAAACACTGGCCAAACTCGCATAACAGACAAGAATCTTGAAACTTGTGATAGGAGTCAGCAACACTTTGCAGTGTAGGTGTGCTGCACTGCACAAGAGATGTCACTCCTCTTTTAGCAACTATGTCCTAAGACTGAAAATATTAATTTTGCCCCGTAAACCTCCTTTTAATGCTGACTCTCCTTGTGGGATTTTCATTAGTTCCTTCAGTCATTCTACTTCAATTTCAATAAACAACATTAAAAACTGTGACTTTACTGTGGTAATACTACACATGTCATCTGAGCCTTCCATAACTAAAAATGGTGGGCGTGAGGGGAAGGTGGAATACATATATAGGCCTGTACGTACATGGGAGAGACCACAGTTCATTAAATACTCAGGAAAGCATACTCAGAGTTCAGCAACCTATAGCCTCTCTGCTTCTTTGAAAAATCAGCTCTTTGCAAGCACTTTCTGGAAGATGAAAGATTGAAGATCAGTTAATTATGTAATCAGGATGTGTAATTTTAGCACAGACCTTCAGATTCCAGCTCTTTGACATAATCCTCAGGTCTGAAGTTGTCCATGAAAAATTATGTCACTTCACTTTCTTTAGATCCTCATATTTAGTTGACATTTAGAAATGTAGTACATAGGCAGAAGCTGCCTAAAACTCAAGCAATTTTTATACATATTTTTATAATGTTCATACAGGGCAGAATAAAATGAAGCAGGGAGAATAAAATGAAGCAGGGTAATGAAAAAGGTAAGGCCTGATAACTGGTTCAAGTGCATTCAAACACAACATGTGGTGCAACAGCTTTATTGTGACTTCTCACTTGATTTGACAACATCTGATAATTCCAATGAACCAAAGCAGATCATACTTAATATCTTATCTTCCACTAGTCAAATCAGTATTAGCCAAGCCCATCCTAGAACACACGATTTTCTTGCATGCCATTCTCTTCAAAGGACATTGAACCAAACAGTTTTAGAAAGAAATTTTGGTAATTTCTTATTAAAACAAAAGGAAAATTCAATGAAGCACTAACTCGAACACAATTTAAATTGAAAAAAACCCCAACATTTGACATAATTTCAGCAAACCCAAACAAAATCAAAACAAAATGTTCTGTATGTTATTCCTCTTGTTTTCCTTCTGGCAGCAAATTATAAATGTTACAATGCTTTCATTTTGATGTGAATACGCTTAAATAATAGTTAGTAATAAGGAATTCATCAAAGTGTTTCTTTTGTTAAGCCATCCTGTACATTAAAAAAGGGAAAGCATTCACTTCAACTTTCTGTGGCATTTTTTTAATTAGTAAAACACTAGCTATGAAAAAAACTTCCTTTCTTAAGAAAGAGTAGAAGTGACCTTCACACAGGTAAACAAGAAAACATCTTTTTTTCCTTACAGTTTATGATAAGGAAGCATTTCAAATCATATTCTTTCATCAACTGCCCATTTAAAAATGAATCTCTACATGAATATATTCTAAAGTACTACATTCAGTTACTTAGCAACTTGTAGCATCCGGAGAAAATATCAAGTGAAGGATGTTAGCCTGTTTAATATTTTCTCCTAATTGTGGCTATTCTTAGATTTCTCATTTCTCAAGCAAGTAACCTAAGACATAAGCTATAAACCTCAGGAAAAACAATGACAGGACAGCCTTCTGCTTGTCACAATACTTACAGAGCCCCTCAAATGGCAAAGTAACTAGATAGAAGCATATTTCCACCAAAATTTGAGTTTGCTTCTTAAAAAAAAAATAAATAAATGTTTTTTCTACATTTCATGAAATTGAAGCCCCAACAGAGACAGTGCTGAAGAGGACATGTAATGAGGACACATAGTATAACTGAAAGGCATGCACTACTTCCTAAGATATTCTGTTCAGCAATCTGATCTATTCCATATGATTAAACAAACAGATTTAAAACAAATAATTTATTATTTTGGCTTCAGCCTAAGAAAATTCTCCCCTTTCTGTATAACCAAGTTCCTGACACAGATGTACGGTGGAATCTAAGCCTTTTAACAAGAATTTATTAAATTCAAGTGATTTCTGAATGTTCACCTACTGCTGCACATGGAATTTTTTTTTTACATTTTGGAAAAAGAAAAATCTACTGGTATTTTTCATGTAGAGACTCACAGGTACATGGACTTTTCTGAACATTTCAGCTCCTTTGTGTGCATCCAATAAAGCCACATCTTGTGGAGTGGAGACAATCACAGCTCCTGGGAAAAGAAAACATGAAATCCCATTAAAATGTATTTTATTAATTATTCTGGTAAATATTTTAAATATTTAGTACATGCAGCTAAATTCACAGTAGTCACACGGTTATATGCTTTCAAGGAAGAAAATTATGCCAGTTTTTTTTATTATACAATGATCAAAATAACGGAGATATGATATCAAGTGATAAAAGTATTTTAGATACTTTCATCATAACTTTTTCTATGTAGAAACCATTTATACTTTCTAAATGAGAAAAATTATCTAGTATCATACAACCATCCACATGCTTACAGATTGCAGAGGTGGTACTCTGGGAATATCTACACAGTAACAATCCCATGCCATAATTATATTTAAAAGTTTTTAATTTAATAATAAGCCTTGTTCTAAAATCAGGAGGTAGCTGCTTGTAATCAGACTGTTGTTTTCCAGACCTGCTACACTTTCTTGAACCATGCCACACTAGACACCAGTGCATTTCTGTAAGTGATACCACAAAGGAAGAGGCCAACAGATGCACACTTGCACTAGGTTTGAATAAAGTGTTGCTCACTGTTCAAATGTGGCTCCAGGTTACCTGATAATTAGTACTCCTGAGCATTATTAAGCACACAAAACAGCCAGAGCTCCTTCTCTAAGTTACATTCTAAAATAAAGTAAGTCTACAGGTTACTGTCCCATGCTGTTATTACTTCTTGATTAATATAGCATGAAAAACCAACACACACATCAGAATATTCTATATGACTTCACAAAGAGCATCTTTTTCCAATTGCTCAGCGGTTTCAAATGTTATTTCCTCAAAATTTGCAACAAAAAACTGTTCACGCTTGTCCCTACTTTATAAAAATGTAATGTACAAGGAAGCATTACCGGTCAATTGATTAGCTTTGGTTTCACATTGACCATCTAGTGTCAAAAGTCTCTAATACAAGAAGATTTCTGTAGAGTCACATTATGCCAACCATGCACAAGAAATTTATGTCAAACTTCACACTAACAGCAATTACAACAGAGAATTCAAGATGCTTGGGACAGCTTCCTGCTGGGGCTGCAGCTCCCAATCCTCTGTGTACATGGCAAAGGAAGAGGTGGGTTGATTTCAGAGGCATGCAATCCTGGCGCCGCAGGCAGGGACCAGAGCACCAGAAGCCCTGGCACGGTGAGAGCACTCGTGGCTCTGGCAGCTCTGGGACAGGAGCCCTGCCCCTGCAGCATCCTCCTGCTGCCGGGAGGGATCCTGCCTGCTGACTGCCAGCCGTTTCCAAACACCGCCTGACAGCGTGTTTGAATGTTTTCAGACAGCATTCTTAACCTCTAATTTGTGAAAGAAAAATACAATCTGGCACCTCACTCCTGAAAAGCTGCCAATCTCTGCCTTATACAGTATTATACACAAGTCCAAAAAGTGAATGGCACATGTAATGTACCAAGCAAATGCAATTTCCCTATTTGCTCAAACTCTGGCATCCAAATAATTTGCTGATACTCCCAAACCAGCCTGTGTCCAATGGCATCACAAAGAATAATGTGCAAGCTTTTCAGTTACACTGAAATCACCTTACCTCCTCAGTTCACCAAAAACAGGGTTACTTTACAAGCAGCACAGAAATGTAGGGTCAATTCCACAAAATGAATGCACCTTTCCCTAAAAGCACAGGCCACAAGTAACTAATTGAGACTCAGTGTCCTTGAGATTTTTGCATATTTATAAAACAAAAATCTTTCAATACTTGAAAAAAATGCTCATTACTGCTTTCTTTCCAAGCAAAATTAGAAATACGTGTTTTGTGTGTATACACACTCTTATTCACACTCTTCTCTGAAGATGCTGGCTCAGCATTCCCTGGATCTTCATAGAACCTAATATGCAGTCAAGGAGACTGGAGTCTATATTTTTCTGGTTCATTATTAATTGTTCTAAGAATCTAATAATTGGCATGGCATGAAGGGTAGACTATGCACAACAAAAACACCCACAAGAACCACAAGCAGCTTAACAGAGAGATATATTTTACTAACAAATTCTCATCCAAAGGGAAAAAAACCAAAAATGCCAAAACAACCCAATGGCACAGTTGGGCTGCCACAAGCACCAACTGTCTGTACAAAAGACCTCTGGCTCCTGAAATACATGAATTAAAATTATGCTTGCGGACAATTTCCATGGCTTCTTCCATAGAAAGAAAGCCAGTGTGCTCAAGAAGCTGCTGTTGAGGGTGCTGAGTTTTTTATCTCCTATTTTCCCTTTTACTCTGAGCTAGTCACAGGCAAAATTTATTAACAGCTAGCTTGTACTGACTTACACCGACAAGCTATAAAACAAGTATCTTCTCTCTTTCTTTGGTACATCTGCTAGTCCAACAAACCCAACCTGAAGTTCAAGAATTCAAATTATTTGCAGCATTATTTCCTTTACTAGCAACCAAATATGGCAAATGAGACTTTTCACAGTGCTCCCCTCCCTGAATAAGTCTGAATACGTTTAATTCAGAAAATTATTCAAATGATAAGCAAGAAAGGACGGAGCCTACACTTTCCTTGCTATCTTGACTCTACACAGTTAATGGGAATATCAAGCAGTAAAGAGTTATTTTGATCAATAAAGTAACAAAATATGATGGAATTCATGCACACAGTATGCCTCTTGAAGCAATACGTGCAATGTTTACAAAAGTGTCTGAATGAAACAAACAGGCTGACAAATCGAACAGAGAAGCTGCAGAAACTATAATACTGATCACATTGCACACTGGAACATGCTAAAAATTCTGTGTTTGCAGCTGTGTGCAGAAAAATAATTTCTGTGCCTTGAGCATACTAAGGATATCTAAGTAGAGTACATTTATGTTTAACCTACTTATCTACTTACTCATGCATTCCTTCTTTTTTTTTTTTAATTGTTATGTATTTCCTTTGACAAAAAGCTGATGCATGCTCACCAAATCACACAATTTGTGAACGGGTCAGCCTGGAAGGCACCACTGCAGATCACCCAGTCCAATCTCCCTGCTCAAGCAGTGTCCTTTAGAGTATGTTACTAAGGATTCTGTCCAGATGACTTTTGAGTACTTTCCGTGATGGAGGCCCCACGACCTCCCTGGGCAGCCTGTTCCAGGGTTTAATCACCTGCACATTAAAGAAGTTCCTACTTATGTTCAGGTGGAATTTCCTGCACATCAGTTTCTGCCCACTGCCTCTCTTCTACTGCTCAGTACCAGCAAGAAGAGCCCTGATCCTTCTTGACACTCTCCCTTCAGATACCTATATACATTGATAAGATCCCCTCTCAGTTTTCTCCAGGCTAAGCAGCCCCTGACCTTTTTAAGTGACATGCAGCCATCTCCTCCTCTTTGCCCTTTGCTGGTCTACCTACAGGAGCTCCATGACTCTTTTGTACTGAGGGATCCAGAACTGGACTCAGCACCCCAGAGGAGATTGCATCAGTAAAAACTATGTTAACTGTATTTTTAATCCTTAGGACACATCAGAGACAGAACTAACAATACCCTGTAACACTGATGTTTGCCTTTCTGTTTCAACCCCAGGTCCTTAATCCTCAGTAAAAGAAAGATATGCCTACACAGCACATTGGTACCCTTCTAGTGGACTGGTGCTCAGCAAATTACAAGCATTTAAACAGTCTATCATTTCTGGGTATAGAAAATATCACCTACACAAAGCATAAGGTGAAATGTCATCAAACCTTAGCTATAGTCAATTTGTACCCAAGCAAAAAACACGGAGCTCTAAAAAGCAGCTCATCAGCTGCAGTGTAGAAGGTCTCCCTTAGGATGAAAAGGATGTCCCTAATATATTCTTTCTCCCCTCCAGTGTCTTCACAGATAGATTTCAGAATGAAGCTACGTGTCTCTCATGCAAGATTAAGGATCCCACCACACACAACTATTAGACCATGTCCTATATCAGCCTCTTAGCAAACAGTGCCACCTCAAAAGCTGTGAAGTATAACTGACCAGAGAGACTGACAGAGTTCTGGAGGACAAAGACACAGAATAATCATATCTGCTGCCTGACAGCCACTGAACACTCTCAGCAAGGAACCACATTCAGGCCTCAGTAAAGCTGTAGATGGCCTGATCTGATCACATCACTCATGCACTTCCTGCAGCTTGTGCTACCTTTTCCACTGCATTAAATTCAAACTTTTAGATGATGTCTTCCAGTCATAAATAGCCTGGTTAACCTGACTCTTCTCTACCATGGATCTCTTCAGAGCCCCTCTGACCTTCTGTTAAATTTGCCTGCAATTACAGATACATCTTTGCACTTGAAGATGCAGAAAAAATCTTGCAAGAACAAAGACTTCTGTCTTTGCTGTAATTTCAACTGGCAACAATTAGAGATAAACTAACATTAGAAAATGGTTCATCTTCTAGGATAAACCTTACAAAGAAGTTTCTTCAGCTTTTGCATGTGGCATCTTATTACAAACAGCAACTTTAAAAAGCCACAAGTGTGATTTTGCATTACAGGATCCTCACTTCAACCTCATAATATAGCTCAGAACTGCCCCAAAGGCTAGATCCTGGCTGCATCACACCTCCAGCCTGCTTGCTACCTTCTTCTTGGAGCAAGCAGTCATTGAACAACTGCTCACACAGGGGACATTTCCACACATCCTCTTTGGCCCAAGAACTAAGCAGGTAATAAAAGATCAGGACACTACCAACTTGCTCACATGAAAAGAGAACAGAAATCTTACACCAATATTCTTCTTCCTGGCCAGTGGAACTGTCAGCTGCATAAAGCTGTCACCCTAAAGCTAAACTGCCCTCATCTCTACTGATCAGTAAGTATTATATCATCCATTTCACATCAGATCACATGGGGAAACATGTGGAAGGACAACTCTCACTGTGGTAAAATGTTTGGTTTTGGTAATGGCAAACGTGTCACACTAATGCAATTTGCAATGAAGTATTTATTTAGTGAAGTGAAAACACTGAAAATATTCATATTCTGTGAACAAGCA